ATTTAAAATTCTGTGACCATGAAATTGACCAAAGTTGACCTTGAATTTGGAAGGGTCCTAACTGTCAGTGTGAGTATGTACAGAGAGACAGATATAGACTTTGGGCCTGAGTCTTACCCCACTGTGTAAATCAGGAATAATGTCATTCATCAATTAGATCTTACTGGTTTAAGTGACAGGGTAATCAAGTCAACACTGCTCTATGAAGCACAGAGGTCCATATTGTGAATCCCTTACTTGGACTGTAGTGACTCTGCTTGAGTAGCACCTCGCTCTTTGGATAGTTGCATTGTCTTGATTGGGGCTATTGATGGAGTTGGGTTCTATTATAAGTAAGGGTGGCAGAATCTGGCACAATGTGACTGTTTTAAAAGCAGCTGTTTGCCCTTTCATCTGTGCATCAGTCTGTCAACTGATTAGTGCTTCCAGCATTTTTGAACATGTCAGGCAGGAATCCCCCTTCTGAGTTGCAAATTTCATGCCACCAACCAGCAAGATAACTGTGCCCCAGGAAGAATTTAGCTCAAAGAGAGAAGATGGTGTTTGCACCACTAGCATTCTCAGGAGTTCCCCTAGTATGGGTGGCAGTATTTAGTCTTGTGTAAAAAGCAAGGGTTACATTCTGCTCCATTGCCTGGGGTGACAACCAGGGAGAACTTATCTCTATTTATTATAATACATGGTGCAACTTCTAATCAAGAATTATTTTCCTTGGACCAAAACAGAAACTGTGGCTCAATCTGATCAAAGAAGATTTGATCATGGAGTAGATTATGGTACATAGCACACAAGATTCAGCCTGTTTTGAAGAAAAATGGGAAACGAGCCTGAATAATAATGCTATAGACTTACCACTCCGATTGAAGCTATGTACTCTTGTAATTATGAAATGATGTTGATACCACTTTCTAGAAAAAAGTTTGATAATATGAAATTATTGAGAGACAATGCATTGCCTACTGTTATATTCTCAACCGACATGAAAAATTACAATAAAGTATTTTGCCACTGATGTGAACTGGTCTTGCAAGACCATCTGTTATTAAAAACCATTCTCAATTATTTAGGTACATAACATGAAGGAAAAAAACTACACTGAACTCGGGTGTAAAAATAGATTAATTACTCTGCTGTAATAGTTGAATTTATATTAAAAAAAAGTGGGAGTATTTCTGAAATACTCTGAGGTAGCTGAATAGACACATTGTCAAATGATTCCTTAGCCTACCTTTGGAAAATGTTTATTTTGATTACATTAATATGCATGAAAAATATAAGTATCATAATGGGTTCATGATTCCAGAGGGAGTGCATCAATTTTTCATCTGCATAATTCATACTAACTTGTTTTTTTTTGTAGAGTTTTGTGTGTGTCTGCAGTTTCTGATTAATTTTCTGTCTAGTGTAGATGCAGTAAAAGCTGTAATGAGCCTTGCATGGTTTGGACAGATGGTTTTAGTACACCATTCACAGAACCTGACCGTGTAAACACTGATGTTTGAATTTTGTGGTGTTAGTAATCCAGCACAAAGGTGCTCAAGAAGACAAGTGCTATACATAACCCACTTTGTTATTTTAACTTTCAAAGTCTTCACCTCTGTTCTATGCATACCCACGTCCCAATGTGAATCAAAGGAATTAATGAAACTTAACATGCAATTTAGCCTGGTAACTTAACATGTAAATAAAGCCACATCATCTTGGTGAATCAAAGAGTGTAGGTGGAGCTTCATAAATACAAATGTGCTGATTTTCTCCTACACAAGTGAGGCATGTGACCTACCCGGCTGCTCTGGGAGGCTTAAGCAGCAGCTATGACTTCAGTGGGACTAATTGCATGAGTAAGGATTTGCAGGATCATGCTTAAGGTCAAAAAACTGCTGGCAGATTTACCTACAAAGGCAGCATACAAACATCACCCATGGAGAAGGTAAGAAGCTTCCAAGAGCTTGAGGGAGTAGAGGAAGATGTTCCAGCAACTAAAGCGCTACCCGGGATTCTGGGGAACATATTTTAAATCCCTGCTCCACCATTGACTTTTTGTATGACCTTGAGTAAATCACTCAGCCTAAGTTCCTCATCTGTGAAATGGGGATGATAGTGCTTCCTTATCTCACAGCAATTTTGTGAGTCAGTACATTAAAGATTGTGATGTGCTCAAAAGCTAATGATAGGGGCCATATAAGCACCATAAGCAGCTGCGATAAAATAATAGTGAATAATGTTTGCTCCTTTCAGTGCTGGCACTCACTTCTAGCCCTGGAAGATCTTCAAATACCAAACTTCAAAATCATGAGACTTTTATACACAAAAAGCTATTTTTGATCATTTTATATATCTGCACAATTATTTTTTCTTTTTGGTACAATGTGGGCTCCTGGTAGCTGAAGTCTTGTTGAATTGAGATTCAGCCATCGGGGGCTTCACTCCCAGTGTAATTGCACTAATACAAACCCCAAGTGTACTTTAAAAAAGCTGCAATTTGCATTAGTTGAGTTTACTGCTGCCTGAAATCCTGGTTTTCCTTGTCTACAGTTGGGACTTGCACTGGTGCAGCTAACACCAGTTGCTGGCTACCAATAGCTGAAAATGCCAAGTATAGACAAATCGTAAGGCTCCGGATTTTACAGGTAGAAGAATACAAAAGGAAATCTCAATGAAAAATATTTAAATTTCTTGAAAGCATTCTTAAAATAGTTTTTTTCCGTAGTACATATGGCATATATGTAATAAGATGGTATGAAGTTTCATTAACATTTATTTGGAATAACTTGCATTACTTGTCAAGTTACTGAGTTGTGCAACCATTCCCAATTCCTGCTCATATAACCTTTATACCACACAATGTGTGCGTACACGTACGTACACACACACACACAAAATTCATACAGTGTAGAGGATGGACTGTGCTCTGGGAATGGCTCTGGGCTGTGTGGTCAATGAAGATGTTGTTTGTAGGACCCCTGTTTCATTTGTTGCAGAAGATGGAAAGTTTGTAGTGAAGGAAGCGAAATATGGTCCTGTGTCTAAAGATGTTGAATGCCAGCTCTAAAATGAGGATTATAATAATACCATTTAATCTCAAAGGAGTGTTTTGAAATTGATTAATATGTGAAGCAGTGAGGCCCAGATCCTCAGAGGTATTTAGGCACCAAACTCGCATTGAAATCAATGGCAGTTAGGTGCCTAAATACCTTTGAGGCTCTAGGTCAAAGAAACTATGGTGAGAGCACCATAAAAACAATTATGAAGAAATTACTTATTGTGTATTGTGCAGCATTGGAATGGTGTGTGGTACATAAGGCATGGAACCGCACATTGAATGTGAGGGATAAAAAGAAATGTTGAATAGCTACCTATTCACTCAGTGAGGCAGGGGTCCTTTGGAAAAATAGTAGGTGATCATGTAATTAAAGACTATATCATAATTAAGAGTTTGTGTCAGTTATTTTTAGTTAAAGTCACATACAGATCACAGACAATAAACAAAAATTCACGGATGCCTGCACCCTGTCTGACTTTTACTAAAAAATAACTGGGGAGGGAGGTGGAGGGAAGGGCTGAGGGGGAGCATGAATGACAGTTGGGCCCTGTGTGGGGGAACTGACAGCCTGAGCTCCACCGCCACGGGGGCATAGTCCCAATCCCAGCCATGGGGGGGAGGAGAGGTGCAGAGCCCCGGGCGAGGGCAGCCCTGGCCACAGCCACTGGTTGTGGGGGACATACAGCCCTGGCTCCAGCTCTTGCCACAGCCATGGGGGGCAGGGACAGCCGCAGCTGGGGAAGGGATGGGGTGCACAACCCTGGCTCTGGCCCCAACTGCAGCCACTGACAGCTGAAGCCAAAGAAGTCACAAAGCTCCAGTAAAGTCATGGAATCTGTGACCTCCATGACTAAATATTATCCTTAATCATAATGCATATTATTCCTGGGGGAATTCTGCACCACTGCACATGTGTAGAATTCATGTGCCCTGCAGATTTTTTTCCACCGCAGAAAATACATTGTCGGACAGGCGCTGCAGTTCTGCCTCTCTCCCACAAGGGAATGATGGGGTGCTACAATACAGCACCAGCTCACCGCTCACCAGCCCTAGCAGTCAGCAGCCAAGAGGGAGAGAGCAGAGGCTCAT